GTGTCCGACTCTTTTCGACCCCATGGACTATACAGTCCATGGGATTCTTCAGGCCAGGAAACTGGAGTGGCTAGCCTTTCCCTGCTCCAGGGATCTTCCCAACTCAGGGATAGAACTCAGGTCTCCCGCACTGCAGGCAGATTCTTTACCAGCTGAGCCATAAGGGAAGCCAAGAATACTGGACTGGGTAGCCTGTCCCTTCTTCAGCAGATCTTCCCGACCCGGGAATCGAACTGGGGTCTTCTGCATTGCAGGTGGATTCTTTACCCACTGAGCTATCAGGGAAGCCCCTAATTGGTCTATATTCCAATACAAAATAAAAAGTTTAAATAAGTAAATAAAATGCTTGCTCCCTGGGGGGATGGCTTAGGTTGAGAAAACAAAGGTTAAAAAAATAAGAGTAATAAAGGAGGGTGGGAGCTAGTGTGCAGCAGAGAGAAATGTTTACTTTAGATGTTCCCTCTTGCCCAGCCTCTCCACTTAAAGTGATGTCCGCTCCTTCACCCTTGAGTTTCTCCTGCTTCTGTGTTTCTTTCATAACTGATGGCAGTTAGATCTTATTTATCTGTACCTGTTTGATCTGGGTGTCCCCACGCTGGAATGTAAGTGGTGTGAAGACAGGACCACGTCTGCCAGGTGTCTCCTGCCCAGGACAGAGCCTGCCACAGAGTCTTGGTCTTCTTCATTTAGACAAAGATACATCTTTGCTGAAATGATAAGCTAGTGGGTTTACCTTAGCACTTTGGTGAGAAATAAAGCATACACCTGAGTTAAAATATGCAGGAGGAAGGAAATAAAACATTCAGTTGGTACTTTAATAATTAAACTAAATTTTGCTGCCAAGTGATAAATACGGCTAAGTCAATGAAATATGCATCAGCGAGGCAATCGTGCAGCCAGAACATTATACAGCTTGATTGCTTGGGATTGTTTAAAAAAAAATCAGTGAAATTAATCATTATAATAAGGATAAATACTCAGAATCAAAGAAAGATGTTTGTTCAAGTTTGGCTGTAATGCCTTCATGGTATTAATAACAGATTTGCTATTTTTCTCCAGCCTTCCTCATTCTGGTCTGGTTGGTAATCATCTCTCGGTCCATTCTTTTCTTCTTTTGAAGCCCAGCTTCAGCTATCCACATTCCCAATAAATGACATAGGGATATGGATCGGAAACCCTGGCTGCAGTCATGGTCAGAATCATCCTTTGCGGTGGGTTGGGGGGACACACATCACTTTGTGGGGTGCTCTCAAGGCTCCTCCACCTAGTGTCTTAGATCCTTCCAGGGACTTTTATTCCTTCAGTGCCGCCTTGTCTGGCCTGAATTTTCACATGTTCTCCTCTGTCTGTGGTGCAGGCCCGGATCTACTCAGATTCATCATTCGTGTGTGCTCAACCACTGCAGTAGACTCGGGCTGGTAGGGAATGGGATGACTAATTACGTGCGTGGACCACTCCCACTAGCTGGATCCTCAGGAACATCTCTGGCTCACACAGACATAGTTCATTTCCAGTTGCTTTCTCCTCTTATGGAGCAGTGGTTTGATGTTGTCTGCATTGTTATCAAATACTAGAGCAGTTACAGAATTCAGTAGCCCTTTGCAAATTCAGAGGACTTGTCATCTACTGAATAAAGTATCTTTAAATGCTGGTCAACTTCAGCTGGTTTTCAAAGAGGGGTATTGTTCACTGCCAGCTGTCTCCCACAAAATGGACAAGAAGGGAGTTCAGTTTTATTTTATTATATTATCTTGTTTCATTTTATTTTTTGGTAATTCAAGACTTCTTTCAAAGGGGAGTAGAAAGCTTCCTTGACACTTCATACTTCAAACAGATGAATTACTTCCCAGCCTGGATAACAGCCGAATTTCCAAATTGAGATGTTCACTGAATTATAAATTTCATGTAAGAGAATAATACCAAGCACAGAAGGATTTGATAAGAGGGCATTTGAAGTCTGTAAATGATACAAAATATTCCCCTTCTTAAGAATCTTTAATAAGTTGTTAAATTAAAGATGCTGTGTGAAAGATTTGATGTTCAACTTCCAGCGCAGTTTTCAATAGGTAGGTTATTCTGGTGGTATGTCAGCAGGAGGCTGAACGTTAGCTAATTCCATGTGAATTTAGTGATGTTGAACATTTTTTCATGCCTCTGTTGGTCATCTATATATCTTCTTTGTAAAAATGTCTATTCAGTTCCTCCGCCTATTTTTAATAGGGTTGTTGAGTTGTATGAGTTCTTTATATATTTTGGATATTAACCCATTATTGGATATATTATTTGCAAATATCGTCTCCCATTTGGTAGGTTGTCTCCTAATTTTATTGATGGTTTCCTTTGCTATGCAGAAGCCTTTTAGTTTGAGATAATCTTGTTTATTTACTTTTGCTTTTGTCTCCCTTCCCTGAAGAGACATTTCTAGACCAATACTGCTAAGACCAGTGTCACAGAGTGTGCACTGCCTGTGTTTTCTTCTAGGAGTTTCATGGTTTCAGGTTTTATATTCACATCTTTAATCCATTTTTACCTGATTTTTGTGTACTGTGTGACAGTGGTCTATTTTCATTTTTTCTGCTCCTGTGCTTACTTTTAAATCTGAAAATTCAGGATACAGTGTGCCTCCTTTCAGTGGAGTTTCATTGTTTTTGTACTGTTTGTGTGAACCAGATGTATTTCCCATCCCTGTCTTTTGTTGTTTTTGTTCAGTCCCTAAGTCATGTCTGACTCTGTCACCCCATGGACTGTAGCACGCCAGGCTTCCTGGTCCTTCACCGTCTCCCAGAGTTTGCTCAAACTCATGTGCATGAAGTCATTGATGCCATCCAGCCATCTCATCCTTTGTCGCCGCCTTCTCCTCCTGCCCTCAGTCTTTCCCAACATCAGGGTCTTTTCCAATAAGTTGACTTTTCACATCAATTGGCCAAAAGCATTAGAGCTTCAGCATCAGTGCTTCCAGTGAATATTCAGGGTTGATTTCCTTTAGGGTTGATTGGTCTGATCTCCTTGCAGTCCAAGGGACTCTCAAGAGTCTTCCCCAACACCACAGTTCAAAAGCATCAATTCTTCAGCACTCAGCCTCTTTATGATCCAACTCTCACATCCGTACATGACCACTGGAAAAACCATAGCTTTGACAACTTGGACCTTTGTTGGCAAAGTGATAGCCCTGTTTAGGACTATTTAAAACCTTACACAGGACCTTCAGAGAACTATAGGGCATAGGTTCTATGTTAGGAAATAGCACTCTTTATTCTTCCTTCCTAAATACTGTTTTGTTAAGAGACAAAACAGATTTCATTCATTTTAAACAGACTTTCAGGTCTTCAGAGGAAGGAAAGCAGCCATCTCTTACTCTGAGGGGTTGAATTAAACTCCTGAATATTTGAACACTAAAGCCATTTTCATAATGTTATCATTTTGATGCAGGCCCTCTCTGCATAGAATGTTAGGGCTATCCTTTTAAAATGATGGAAACAAAAAACTTTAATCTTTCACTACAATTCCGTATACATCTTCCAGCTGTCAGTGTGTATTTTCCATGGTAGACAGTCACGTTCCTAACTGGATAGTTTTCATCCCAACAGGCAGTAATCTAGTATATTCAGACTTTCTATTTAATTTGGTAGATTAGTCTTTGCAGCTGTTACTCAGAGGTGCATTTAGAAGATTTATCCTTTAATAGGAATAGATGGTGGTGTCATTGTCTTTAAGAGACTACAGATATCGCCAGCATAGTAGGTTTGAAAATTTATAGAGGAGAAAAAATGGGCCATGACCATTCTGGCATTTAAATCTGACACAAATCCCAATATTCCCTGTCTTCAGAGCAGCCCATCAGAAAGAAGCTATTCTGTAGACACAGAGCCTGTTTCTATGTTGAACAGAAAACTGAAATGACCAGTAGACATCTTCTGCCTTTGCAGTAAGCTGGGCTCTAATGCAGGTCCTCTTAATTTGATGCTGTTGCTGCTTTTTAGTCACTCAGTCCTGTCTGACTCTTTGCAACCCCATGGACTATAGCCTGCCAGGCTCCTCTGTCCTTGGGATTTTCCAGGCGAGAATCCTGGAGTGGGTTGCCATTTCCTTTTCCAGGGGATCTTCCAGACCTAGGGATGGACTTTGCATCTCCTGCATTGGCAGGCAGGTTCCTTACCACTGTGCCACCAGGGTAGCCCCCTTAGTTTGATGCGGCCCCGGCTCGTCAGATCAAAAGCTTCATGAAAGGGATTCTCTGCCTGCATGCTTCTCACCCGTCTCCCTTCATCCCAAGGCCCTTAATCTGAAGATGAAGTGAACCGGGCTTCAGGGAGCCCTGAATCCTCTTCTGGACCAGCGGTGTATGTGTGTGTGTCCTTACTCGTGCCTCCTCTGGGTCACTTACACTGGTTTTCAAAAAACTGTTGCTCATCCTCTGACAGTTATAAAATGAATGCTTATCGTATGTGTGCACAGCTGCTTGTTTAGTTGCTCAGTCATGTCTGACTCTTTTGTGATCCTATGGACTATTGCCCACCAGGCTCCTCTGTCCATGGGATTTTCCAGGCAAGAATACTAGAGTGGGTTGCCATTTCCTTCTCCAGGGACTCTTTCTGACCCAGGGATCAAACCTTCGTCTCCTGCGTTGGCAGGTGGCTTCTTTACCACTGAACCATCTGGGAAGCCTGCGTATGCAGTTAATACACATCCAGAGAAGCAAATCATGTGTGCATGTGTGTGTGTGTGTGTATAAAATCTTCAGTGGAGAGAAGCTGCTCTTGGCTTTGGTAGAGCCTGTGGTGTGTGGGTTTGGAGGACAGACTTCCCTGCAGGGACTGAAAGCAACTCTTTTTCTACAACTCGTCCCAGAGAAATGCTTTTCAAGGCTACTCATCAGGAGTTGGGTCAAGTTCTGATGCAGGTGGAGGCTTCAGGGATAGGTCGGTGGTGGTGCCCAGCAAGGGGGTCCATCCATTTTCCATGACATTTTCATTAACGCACTCACTGTCTGCCTCCTGCAGGTTCAGCCTTTGGAACTGAAGACCAACCGCCTCTAAAGGCAGCTCTCCCTGCCAAAGACACAACCAAAGGGGCCAGCCGGGTGGCCCCTCCGGCTTCTTCCAGTGCGACAACACCCCGCAGGAGTTTGCTTCCGGCGCCGAAATCCACATCCACACCGGCTGGTAAGACTCGTGCCGCAGAGAAACTGCAGTGGAGAGCGTTTTCTGCATTAAAGTCTTCTGAGGGCCTCTGGGTACATCAGCTGTTTGGATGGGATGACAGATGTCTTTCCCATGGCTTTTAATATTAGTGGTAATAATAGTACCATGATTCTCAAGGCACTTTCATCTATTCCTGTGTTTAAATTCTCAAAACTCCTTCTCACTCCTCCTAGTGACTGATAACTCATCGAATCACAGTTTCCATTGCAAAAAATAAAAATAAAAAAGGATCAAGCTCATTTAGGCAGATTTTGCTTAGGGAAGCAGGTGCTGATGAAATCTATCACTGGAAGGATGGTAGGAGCTAGCTGCAGAATGTGCACCCTGGGAGTGAGCACCTGATCCCTGGGGGAACACTGCTGCCTCGACAAGGATGCAGGGGTTCCGTCCCCCTGCTGGTTCCAGGCTGGTGCCGTCCAAGCCGGGATGCAGGGATCAGCAGCTATGGCAGAAGGCTGGCTCCAGAGTCATGCTGTGCTTGCCATGTCCACCCCAGCAAAGCCAATGCCCCTCCTGACGCGGGAAGCTAGTGACAGACACAGGGGACTCAACTGATGTAAAGGTGTGACAAGTGAAGGTGCTTGTCAGCAGCTGAAGCTGCTGGGTGTGGCCCCCGCCTGCCTTCTCCTCCTGTGTCTCACGCATGCGTGTTTGCCTTCGGGATGTCCAAGCATCCGGCCTGTGGCTTAGCCTCCCATCCTCTGCACTACCTGTAGGAAGACACTGAGAGTGAGGGAGCCTGAGTGTTGAGCCTGAATCCACGGTAGATGGTTCACCCCTGTGGGTGTTCATTCCTCCGTATTCTTCTTCTATGCTCCTGTGTTCCTGTACCAGTGATATATATACACACAGATGGGCCTGGTTCCTAAAAGTAAACTTGCATTGTACCTTTTTTATTTTTTTTTTTTTTGATGTGGGGACCATTTTTAAAGTCTTTATTGAATGTGTTGCAATACTACTTATGTTTTATGTTTCATTTTTGTTTGTTTTTTTTTTGGCCAAGAGGCATACGGGATCTTAGCTTCCTGACCAAGGATCAAACCCACATCCCCTGCTTTAAAAGGCAAAGTCTTAACCACTGGACAAGCAGGGAAGTCCTGTACATTTTCTACAAGTCACTCTCCTTACTGAAGGCGCGTCATGCATAGAGTTGCCCTCAAAGTCAGTGCATCGTGGTTTTTCAGTGGTTGCCTAGTGTGGATATGCCATGATCTGTTCAGACATGCCCCCGCCGGCAGGCATTCACTTTGTAACTGGCGTTTGCCACTATAATTGATGCTTCAGTACATGTCCTTGAACCGGTGACATTCTTTCTACAAGATTGATTCCCAGGAGTGGGATGGCTGTGCTTGATGTGTTAATAGATATGACTGGATTCCTTTTCAAAGGCTTCATTTCCACCCATATCACTGAAAAGAACAGATCATTTTTAAAAAATCATTTTTTAAAAATGTTGTCCATTTAATGAGAGTGATATTCTATCTCAATGTTATTTTAATTTGCATTTCCCTGACCACTTCAATGGAGCATCACCTCATAATCCCCTCTGGTAACATGTAAATTGAACTGTTTGGTTTTGTTCTTCCTCAGTGGCAGGAAAGCTCCCCGGGGACAGTGACCTTGTCCCATTTATTTAGCCCAGTATCCCTGATCCTGCAGTCTCCTCAGTGACTAAGTCCCAGTGGCTACTTAGCATCTATTCATTAACAGTTGGATGAATCAGCAAATCAGTGGATGAATGTCACACGGCCTTTGACTCTGGTCCCAGTTTCTCAACAAGTTTGGTTGGGGTTTAAATAGAAAATAACTAGACAAGCCTACAATGAGTTAAAATACAGTCATTGAATCAATCCTGTAGACCTGTGTTTATCAAATTTTAGTGCCTCAGAACCATCTGTAGAGCTTGTTAGAAAAGATTACTGGCTCTCGTCCTGAGTGACTTATTCAGTGGTCTTGGGTGGAGCCTCAGAAATTGCATTTCTAATAAATTCCTGGGCTTCCCAGGCGGCTCAGTGGTAAAGAATCTGCCTGCCAATGGCATCCACTGCAATATCCTTGCCTGGGAAGTCCCCCGGACAGAGGAGCCTGGTGGGCTGCGGTCCATGGGGTTGCAAAGAGCACACTACAGGGTACATAGCACATAACTTAATACACATGAGGCTCTGCATTTGACTTTCCAAAGACATAAAACTTATACATTTTCCCATTATTGACATAAGGAGGTGGTGTTAAGGTGTTTAGAACAGGAGTTAACTACATCTATCTGCTAGATGGAGGACCCCACCCCAGCCTCTGTATAAACCCTTGGCTGTGGCCCGTGTGAAATGGACTTATCCGGGGAAAGCGTGGATTGAGAAAATGGAGCAGAAGATGGGAGATTTCAGGACATTCTCTTCTAACTTTCATCTCATTCCAACACCTAATTTAATAGCAATTTAAAAATTATGATTAAAAGATACATTTTATTACTGAATTTTAGCTTTGCATTTATCCTATAGGTATGAATTTTTCATTTAAATAAAATGTAGTTCCTAATTCCAAATCAGCTTTCTCATTGCCTTGTTCTGTCATCCGGCTAATTAAAAAGCAGAAGGCAGGCATGCAAATTACAGTTAAATTCCAAATAATTGGGTTTCTTGGGACTGTGGGGTATTTGGGTTATTCTAATTACTTGGGTAACACCAACCCTTGTTTTAACTCATGCTGGTATTTCTAAACTGTGATGTGTCCCTTCTTTCCCTTGGTGATTCCAGGCTAATGATGGCAAGCTCTTGTGTCTTTGGGTCATCTATTCAATTACTGTCATCCATGATTGTAGATGCAACATGTACTCATAATAGAACATACCCTGGGGTTGCTTGGGCTGTTTCTTTTAACCTAGATTTCTGATGTGAGTTTTTTCTGTGAGTGACTTTTTTCTGGTTTGTTCATTCAATAAACATTCAAATGCTTGCTTTAAGCCATAGGTGACTTAGATTCAAGAATAATTAGAATAGTCACAATAAGGTAAACAGAATTGTACACTAATAATTAGAGTGTCCCTTGGACAGCAAGGAGATTAAACAAGTCAGTCCTAAAGGAAGTCAACCCTGAATATTCACTGGAAGGACTGATGATGGAGCTGAAGCGTTTGGCCATCTGGTGCAGAGAACGGACTCATCTGAGAAGACCCTGATGCTGGGAAAGATTGAAGGCAGGAGAAGAAGGGGACAGAGGATGAGATGGTCGGATGGCATCACTGACTCAGTGGACATGAGTTTGAGCAAACTTGGGGAAATAGTGAAGGACAGGGAGGCCTGGTGTGCTGTTGTCCATGGGTCAGAGAGTTGGACACAACTGAGTGACTGAACAACAATAATTAGAGTGAGAACAAGAGATCTGTAATCTTATCAGCTGGCTGTCAGTTAATTCTAGCAGACCAGGAAGTCATCCTAAGATGGATTAAGAGGGACTTCCCTGGTGGTCCAGTGGCTAAGCCTCTGCACTCCCAGTGCAGGGGGCCCAGGTTCTATTCCTGGTCAGGGCACTAGATCCCACATGCTGCAGCTGAAGATCCTGTGTGCTGCAACTAGACTCAGTGCAGCTGAAATAAATATTTTTTTTTAAAAGATGGGTTAAGAAACAAATGACCCAAAAAAGTTTAAATTAGATCTAATAGACTTTTAAAATCACTTAATCACTTTCTCTTTATTTTATAATAATAAAATGATTATAAAAATATAATCATTTCCTAATTTGTTTATTTTGTAATCACTTTCTGATTTCAGCAAAGATACAAGGTAGCATCCAGTAAAGGGCCCAGAATAACAGAGGTACAAGGATTGAAAATCCAAGTAATAAAAAAGAGAATAGCCTGATAAAACTGGGCTCAGAGCTTCCTGGCTGCAAGAACAAAAAAGCATAATGAGGGGAAAAAAATAGGGTGTGGCACTTTATCGGAAGAGAGAACTTATTTTTTAGCACAAATGTGTATATATGATTTTAATTCTGTGAATTTTTTAAAAATTACATTGAACAACATAATGGACAACTTTAATTGTATGTTTTTAAGCATATCTTTTCTGATAATAAAATAATTGAAATAGTTTAAAATTTGGGAATAGGGAAGGCCTTCCTCAACATGATGTAAAAAACTGGAAACCTGTAAAAAAATGATAGATTTAACTACATACAAATTTTAAATTGTCTGCAATAATGACCATCATGGAATTAAGAAGGTTGATAAACTGAATGAAAATGTTGCAAAAAAGTCTTAATATGAAAGTCAATAGAAAAAATACAGCTTAATTTGAAAAACAGGTAAAATATATGAATGGGTGTGACTTAGACAATAGAAGAACAAAGTGGTCAGTGGCCATAAATATATGAAAAGATGTGCAAATCCACTTAAAACCTGTATACCTAACCTCTGTACTGTGTTGCTTAGGCATTCTTACTCAGATGGAAGCCAGTTAATTACATTTTATTGAAATAACTGTCATTGAAAAATACAGCTTGAGATTGAGTCTTCCTTTTTTAAAATTATCTTATTTTAATGGGAAGTTAATTACTTTACGGTATTGTGATGGTTTTTGCCATACAGCAGTATGAATCAGCCATAGGTATACATGTGTCCCCCCCATCCCCAACCCCCTCCCACCTCCCTACCTCTTCACACCAGGTGGTCACAGAGCACGGGCTTTGGCTGCCCTGCACCATTCATTCATCAACCTCCCACTGGCTGTCTGTTTTACATACGGTAGTGTATATGTTTCAATGCTCTTCTCTCAAATCATCCCACCCTCTCCTCCCACAGAGTCCAAAAGTCTGTTCCTTACGTCTGTGTCTCCTTTGCTGCCCTGCATGTAGGATCGTCGGTGCCATCTTTCTAGATTCCATATATATGTGTTAGTATTCGTCTTTCTCTTTCTGACTGACTTCACTCTGTATAATAGGCTTTAGGTTCATCCACCTCCTTAGAA